CTGCACCTAGGGAGGAAAAATGTCCAGCACACCTACAGCCTAGGAAATGACCTGCTGGGTGGCACGGAAGTGGAAAGGGATCTTGGAGTCCTAGTGGACTCCAAGATGAACATGAGTCGTCAGTGTGTCGAAGCCATCAGAAAAGCTAATGGCACTTTATCGTGCATCAGCAGATGCATGACGAACAGATCCAAGGAGGTGATACTTCCCCTCTATCGGGCGCTGGTCAGACCGCAGTTGGAGTACTGCGTTCAATTTTGGGCGCCACACTTCAAGAGAGATGTGGATAACGTGGAAAGGGTCCAGAGAAGGGCCACTCGTATGGTTAGGGGCTTGCAGGCCAAGCCCTATGAGGAGAGACCGGGGCACCTGGACCTCTTCAGCCTCCGCAAGAGAAGGTTGAGAGGTGACCTTGTGTCTGCCTATAAGTTCATCATGGGGGGCACAGAAGGGAATTGATGAGGTTTTATTCACCAAGGCACCCCCGGGGGTTACAAGAACTAATGGCCACAAGCTAGCAGAGAGCAGATTTAGACTAGACATTAGGAAGAACTTCTTCACAGTTAGAGTGGCCAAGGTCTGGAATGGGCTCCCAAGGGAGGTGGTGCTCTCCCCTACCCTGGGGGTCTTCAAGAGGAGGTTAGATAGGCATCTAGCTGGGTTCATCTCTTTTCTGCCTATGCAGGGGGTCGGACTCGATGATCTATTGAGGTCCCTTCTGACCCTAGAATCTATGAATCTATGAACTTGTCCCCTTATCCTGCAATATCTAAACCCTATTACCTGGATTACTTTATTTTATTTATTTCTGCAGTATTTAATTTCTTGTCATCAATTTGTTATGATACAAATTAGTATAAACATGCAAATACTAAATTTCTAATTGCACTGAACTACATGGAAAAACTGACATCAACACTGCAATGAAATGCAATATGCAACACAAAATGCAATAAAAGCAGAAACAGATCCAAGGGGAGGGGTGAAGTGCACCTCCCTTTAATTCCT